ATTATACCTCTTTTTTTTTTCTGCCTAACATCTGAGATATGGGGGTGGGATGGGTGAGGGTGAGTGAGTTGTCTGTATTTTGTTTATTGTAATGTACTGTCTGTATTGTATTGTATTGTAATGTTTGTATGTCTTAGTATTGTTTTGTCTTTATTGTATGTATGTACTGAATGTTGTTTTTTGTGTTGTATATCTCTGTATGTGTCTCTTGGACCCCCTTGAAAATGAGATGCTGCATCTCAAGGGGCTATCCTTAAATAAATTCAAATATCACCATTCCGACGGTCCGCCATCCCGAATTCTGGTCCCTGAGTCCTGACAGTAAGCTATGGCGAACCTGTAGAAGCCGTATTTCTCATGTATGTCTGCGATTTTCACCAGGGACGCACACGAATAATTCAGGCAGACATTACCTGCTTTTCAGCGAACTCCTCTGGTAATTTCATTAAAAGGCATGGCATATAGGTCCACAGTAACTTATTATTATTATTATTATTGGGTCTTATAAGAGTGGGCTACAATGAGTACCGGGCCATCAAATCACAGCATCCACGGTGAGAGGACACGGAATTGTGTGCGCTTTTACGCACGCGGGTGTAGGTGATCACGGATATTTGATGTGGGAAAGATGTAGCCAGATGTATTACCTGTTTTAGATACATGGCTTTCTGTCCGTCCGTCCATCCGTCAGTCCATCCGTCTGTCCGTCCGTAGCACGAGTCATGTGCGCCACTTCACCACCGACCCATGCGTAAAAGCACAAACAGTCCCTCAGCCCTGCAGGCAGGGAGAGAGCAGCCCTCGCGAGCTGCTCTCTCCCTGCCTGCATGGCTGTCCCTCCTTGAGGCAATGAATGAGGAAATAATCGCCCCGGCGTTTAATTGTACCGGCGTTTAATACACAAAATGGGGTCAAACCCCCGGCGGCTATTAGATGCCCGGTGGCATATAGCCGCCGGGCAACTATTTGGAAATACGGTATGTGACAATAATCATATGTGTATAATAACAGTAGAAGTGTGACTAATGATAACAGCAGCAGCAGGAGGCATCTGGCAGGACCACGGCAGCTCTTGTAGGCTGAAATCAAGACGATCACATTAACCAGTGCACAATCATCAGACTTGACAATTATCACGGGACAACAATCTTTGTTATATCGAGATAACGAAATAATAAGTCGTTATCACGAGATAACAGCGCACAAAAAACAAAAAAACATGGCCGTTCTCGTATTCCACACTGGACAGCTATGTTGACTATGTAATAATACGTCGGTTATGCCCAGGTATTGAATCAAATGTGTTTTAAGACATTTTTGCTTAGTTCTCCTTATTGTCTATTTGTCTCATTGTGTTTCATGGACACGACGATGTGAATAGCGCTGTTTCAGCTCATTTCTGCTCAGTTTTGAGGTCTGTTTTCCTCTGCTGAATGAAACCATGGCGACACAAAATGCGGGTACCTTATTGGTGTAGCGCGATCACGTGACGGCCGTGCCACCACTCGCGTACCAAATCTCATTACGCTCAGGCGGAACAGATCATTACGCTCAGACGGAACAAGTGCCGAATTACGACCCTGATCACAGGACTCTTGCGGGGTTATGAGCTACAAACTCCTGCTGATTAGCTGAACATGTATCAATCTTTTTTATGAAGTAAAGATCGTGTAGTCCCCAGATGTCGGAGCGGAAATGAGTTTCTGTGAGACTTTTTCTGATTCACCTTACGGCCTACACGGAGCCGCAAAATCTACTGGAAACGCTGTAGTATGTACGCCAGGCCAATGGGTGGCAGTGTAAATTTGCAAAGCAACACCACGGCATGACGCCATGCACCTGCACTGAAGCGCCTTCCTCTACAACAAGGTGATTACAAACCAAAACAAAGAAGACACAATGGCGAAAGCATGCACAGATAACTTTGTCTGGATGGACGACGAGGTGGAGTTGCTACAGTAACAGATCTACACTTCACTTCAAATCAACAGGGTGAGCAGCACAAACAGAGCTCGGCATTGTTGCTGTGATGGTCGGAATGCCTAGTGACTGGAACCGTAATGCGCATGTCCGTTTTCAGAGGAACTGCATATTGCACGTTTACATGACAATAGAGATGCTGCCATTTCCAAAACGTTGCACTCTGGAACCCATTTTCAAATCATTGCATTTTCAGGCAACCAAAATGCCACTGTCATGTAAACGATTGGCCAAACGCAACTAAAGTTTACTGTTTTCAGTTGAAATCGTTGTCGTATAAACGGCCCCTTAGGCACCGTAACCATTGCTGAAGATCATGAGCTGGCCTGGGTGCTCGGCGCTGCACCTTATAGTGTGAACAGCCCAATCAGTTAACAAAAGCGCTGAGAGCAAGCAGGCAGCCCTCCTTCCAAAGCACTTCTGCATCCAGTGTGAGCCCAATTGTTATAATTCTACTAAATTCTACTTGGATCTTATTTTCAGAGATTTTCTGACAATATAGCAGAGAGACGCACGCAGTGAGACTATTAAACAGTAGCCAGATTATTTAAACCACTTTATTCGTTAGTGACTGGCATCTAAATTTTCAATAATAGATCAGCCAGTGGATTTCTAACTGCTAAACGCTTAATGAACTTAATGAACCCCATGTGGTTTACAGTCCTGTTAGCATTTGTTTAGTCTCTCTGATTTATTGACAGAAAAATACTACATGAAGCAAGTATGTGCTGCTTTTTACTGTTACATTTTGCAGACAATCTTGGACATAGATCCTCACTGCAGGGTTAGGTTACAATTGCTTCTGTAAATGAATCGCTCATTGAACTTTCTACAGTCCCTTGTGGCAGTTGTAAAATTAGGTACATTACATGGTATACAGTGTCTGATACATAGTTTTCCATGAGGTACTACAGCGACACTACAACACAATGACAACTAACTATATCTTGATTTTGTATAAATGTCAGCATGAAAAACACTGTTTTAATTGGCAGCTACAAGATTTATTTGACCGCAAAGGTGATAAATACTGCGTGTGTATATGTGTGTTGAGGTGCTGAAATGTAGCTTACTGAGATGTTGGATGATGTGGTCTATGGTGGGCTTGAAGAGGGAATTCATGGCATCTGGACTCATCCTCAGCATCCCCTGTGACGACCATTTAACAAAGTCCACACTAGGAGAGGATGTAAGAGCATATGAAGAACTGAATAAGTATAAATAAGTTCATCTGCAGTCAGGGCTGAGTAATATGATCAAAAGCAATATTACAATATTTATGTGTACAAATTGAAGATAACAATATATATCACAATACAGCAAGAGTTTGCCTAATCTAACACATTCTCACTGAACTTGTCAAATGTTGCCTTTTGGTCAGTGGACTTTCATGTTCACACATGACATGCCAGGTATCCTGGGTGTGTCTGTTGCTGATGCTCTGGGTCGCTATGTCAATTTATGCCTGTTTCATGCATTGTGGCTTTTTTTAAAATACACTTCAGTTTTCAGAGGAAATTTACAGTTTCTGCTTGTTAGATGTATACAGTCTTTTTTAAAATAATCATACAACATCGGCAACAAAAGCACATGGTTAGGTTTAGAGAAAAAAAAAACACCTTGGTTTGGCTCTACAGTCATACAGGAAGCGAACACTGGGCTCCTAGGTAAAAGTCCGGTGTTTGTAGGATCCCATCCACCACCCCTCCCATCCCCCCTACAGGGCATTTCCAGCTCCAGCTGTTATGAGATGGCGTTTCAAAGTGACACCATCTGGCAGTGTTATACAGCAAAACTGCTGGTGAATTGTACCACCCGGCGGCAAATCATACTGCCACAAATAGATGCCTTTTTTGGTCTAAATCATATATCAAATAAAAATAAAACTAATAACATGTTGAGTGCACTGAACTGTGTTCCTGTTATTATGACATCAGACAAAACTGTTCATACATAGGCTTCAGGTACAATCTGCTAAATAATGCTAACATAATCATATAAAAAAAAATAGCACAATGTTCATATGATCATGATTCTATTCCACTGAAAGTCGCTAAAAAATACTATTGGATTATGGCTCAGTGCTATCTGCAAAACTATACTGGTCTAGACACATTTTATTACAAATAGGATAAAAGTCCTGTGGATCTGATAAAAAGGGTCTATTAAAGCTGTGTATATAATGCTGACATTAATGTAATTTAAAAATGGCATGGAAACAATGACAACAATGTTATCAACGTATTTTACTGTGACCTTTGTTCATTCACCAGACCTGATGCGCCACAATACAAAACAAAGATTCCATAGCCATGGTGCTGTGCGCTAAATGCCAACATCAACCTGCTAATATGCTCTCAGTGATAATGTCAACATGTTGATGTTTAACAATCAGTGTCTCTGTGTGGTGGTGCGTAGGTGTGTCTCTGTACCAGTTTCATGTCTGATGAAGGGCCTGTGCCCGAAACGTCACATGTGGTGATATTCAGATTAAATCTTGGGAGCTGTATCTAGTGTGCGGACTCAACTTTTTCTGCATTGATGCCTCTTTGTGGTCCAGCACCTAGACTAAGCCTTTTCTAGGATGTGCGTGTCCTTTTGTTCTCTTTGACTTTTTGATTGGCACAGCACTCCCCGAGTGACTCCCATTTTTTAAGACATCCACAGCTGTGTCTTGATTTTCACAAAACACTCCACCACCATGGATTCTAGTGCTGCTGCTACCTTTGAGTTCACTCAAGAGGATTACTTGTGCATTATTTTGCAAGACTCAGTGTTCAGTGGCATCAGCTGAGCCAATGCTGAGGTTTCCACCAGGACTCTGGAAAGACTGCAGGAAAGAGAAACACATTTATACCTGCACACAGTCACACTCAGTGACTATATGAGAGTGAAAAGGATCCCACGCGGCCTAAGGATTAACAAGGGCCCCATTATTGGCAAAGACAATGATACCTTCTGTGACAGATGGAGCGAGATATTGAATAAATGTTCATTTGATTTGATGGCACTCACGATCCAGGAGGTGTCGCCAAATCTCGCAGGACAAACGACTTCTGGGAAACGAGCTCGCAGACATGGACAAACTCAAACAGCTCTTGGACCTGTGTGAACATCTCAAGAATGAACTAGCCAAAGAAATAACCACCTCCAAGAAGAGGAAGTTTTAAAGAGATGCTGCAGATTACGACAGCGGGAGAGTGTATCAATGGAAAAATCCGACTTTGTGGAGGACACGAGGATCCAGGGCCGAAAGCAGCAAAGATCGGAGAGGTAATGTTAACTTTGCATCGACTTACGGCCGGGCTCCACCGGGCACGCCAGCGGCGCGTGTCCTGTAGCAGCTCGCCCCCCCTGTTAATCAATTACAGCGGCTCCACCGGCAACTAGAGAGGCGCGACAACCCCCATCTGTGGCGCGACAACTCTCTATTTTACGCAGCTCTTCTATTTTTGTCGCGCTACGCTCCCCTACGCGACCCTCCAGCAGATAAAAACTACATGAAATAGTGTGCTAAATGAGCACAATGTGTTTTTAAATGAATAAACCATTATCAGAGGTGATATGTGATGATTTATTTTCATGCATTTACCCATGTTTATCCGTGTAAATGTCCGTGGCGGACATTTGAAAACGAGTAGCCTAGATGACAAACAGTACAGTAAACTTGTAGATAACTCAAATATATGTAATAACTTAGGTGGAAAATGCTTTAACATTTCATGCAGCCTACATGCAGCCTCTCGGGTCGGCAAACGGTAAACAACCCTGCTGGCTTCTCTGCGTGTCGCTTCCGTACGCAGTCAGTGGAGCCCAAATTATGCTGCCTTCTATTGGTAGCCGGAACCGGGATTGATACGGTTTCCGGTCCGGAAAGGTACAAAAGAACACCTGTTCTACCCGGAGGTAGTCATATAAATCCGACAAGGAATGACCGGCCTGGATTGCCAAACGAATGCGGCATAATACGCCATGACGCTACGCTGACGTGACGCTTACGTTTGCAGCCGGTGGAGCCTGGCCGTAACCGTCACCAAACAGTACCAGTCGACTACAGACCTGGAGGAGGACTCCGAATCCAGTGCCCACTCTCATACAAGCGGCTCTTTTTTAGACGGCAGGAGAGGCGACGAATCCAGGAGACCATTTCACGCACAAAGAAGAAGAAATGCCTGGCGGGGGAAGGGCTGCTCCCGTCAGAGATCCATATCCGACTCGCTGGAGACAGAACAGGTACACAATGTAATTAATTTATCTAGTCAAACTATACCTGTTTGGCCGCCTTAAGCAGAGGCCTCATCAGTCATTTGTTCCCACCACACACTGCAAAGATTTTGACATCATCGTAGACTTGCATAAATTCTTTTGGACGTTGAGGCTTAAAGAGTTTTTCAGTGGCAATGACAGGCCTTCTCCTAACTCTCCTCCGGTCTCCATCCAAGGTACGGACGAGGTGACGCAACACGCTGATGCCACCAGCACGAGTCAAAGAACCATCACTGGAGCACAATCTCACTTCAGAGGTAAAAGTACCTTTATTCCCCCTAACAAGAGAAATGCCTCTATTGACACCTACTGTAGGTAGGTTGAGAATGATGTTTCCCTCCTCCTCAAAAGAAAAAAGGAATACAGAGTGTCTCATAATCTGACTAAAAATCAGTTAAGTGAATTAAAGGCTCTTAAAAATGACAGCACACTGGTCATCCGGAGTGCAGTTAAGGGTGGTGCTATCGTCATCCAGGACCGCATCGCATATTAGGGTGAAATCCAGAGACAATTAAGCAATACTACATTTTACAGACAACTTAATCACAATCCCACACAAGAGTTTAAAGAGCTCATCAGGAGGAAATTGGATTCTTTTCTGGAGAGTGGACAAATCACCAGAACTGAACACAGCTTCATGGTTGTGGACTCTCCTGTGACACCAGTGCTGTACACCCTACCTAAAATACACAAAAGCTACACAGATGTCCCTCCAGGTCGGCCTATTGTTGCTGCCATCGGCTCACTCACAGAAAACATTTCAGCCTTCGTAGATCACTTTCTCCAGCCTTTGGTCATGTCACTTCCATCATATGATAAAGACTCCATGGAATTCATTAAAATGATTCAATCCATCGAAATGCCAGAGGAATCTTTTTTAGTGACTATGGATATTGAATCCCTATATACAAATGTACCTTTTGAAGGGGGGTTAAGGGCTTCAGAATTTTTCCTCAATCAGCGTTCTCATGGCATTCCCAGTACTATTTGTATTTTGGATCTCATTGAGACTGTACTCACCTCCAACTTTTTTCTGTTTGGCCCTGACTTCTACCTCCAGGTGTCAGGAAAGGGTATGGGAGCAAAAATGGCTCCTAGCTTTGCTTCCCTCTACTGTGGATTCTTTGAACATGATATCATCTTCAACCAACAATGCAATCCTCATCTACCCTTCATCTCCAGCTGGAGGAGGTACATAGATGATGTATTTTTTGTCTGGAGTGGTTCTGAAACACAACTTTAGGAATTCCATGACTTCATAAACACTAACAACCACCACTTGAAATTCACCATGGACTATGATAAACACAAGATGAACTTTTTAGATATCCTTGTGTACAGAGATCAAAACAGACTTTGTTCTAATCTGTACCGTAAGAGCACTGACAGAAACTCCATTCTCCACGGCACATCTTTCCACCCAGTACCATTGAAAAAGAGTCTGCCCATTTCACAGTTCAGTTGCATCCGACGCATCTGCAGCTCTGATGTTGATTTCCAAATCCAGGCAGATGACCTAGAGAAACGTTTTCTACACAGACAATACAAACATGAGTGGGTTACACAGACGCGCACCAAATTTGAAAATGTATCACAGACTGAGTGTCTCCAACGCACCAGAGCCAAAACAGCAGACTCCAGAGTCAACTGCATTGTTCAGTACTCTCCTCTGGGCAAAGCATTTGAGGACATCATCAGGAAACACTGGCACATTGTTGAGTCTGATCCCACACTCAAGTTCTTCACCTCACCTCCTCGGATTGTCTATAAGAGACTACCTAACCTGAGCAATATGCTGGTGAGAGCCCACCTCCCACCACTTGCGCAGCCTCATTTTTTACTGACTGTTCCCCATGGTAACTACAGATGTGGCCGTTGTACTCAGTGTAACTTCACACATAAAACACAAAT